TATATTTTTTTTGTACATATTTCGTTGTTGCCATTTAAGGTAAACTACAAAACTTCAATTTGTATGTATTTCGACTTTAACTTGTATCAAGTCAAACGGACAGATTTCCAAATTTCTTAGCAGCAAAGAGAACAAAAACAAGTTTTGTTATTTAAAACACATATTAGTAATATACGCAAAGTAGAGTGTGCAAGCGCTTTAGCAAGGGCAAACACGGAGAAAATTAAAAGATTTAAGCTTAAGTAGGGCACCTTTAAAATTCTGTATGTGAGTATTCAATGAAGTGTATATGAAATAATAAATGTACTGAATAATGCGAATCGGGAATTTCATCAACAGTTTATTCTAATACCACAAACCTATCAAAATATATATGTGTATATATAATATAGTGTATATGTGTTTCGTTTTTAATCTTAATTAGGCAGAGTTTGCGTTGAACGCGGCTACAACATCACTTGTTCCTCAGGAAATAACGATATAGGGTATTCTTCTGCGTGGTGGTGCTGCTGCCTCCGGCYCCGCTGCTGCTGCTGCTGCTGTCCGCACTGGCCGAGCTGCCGCTGCTCGTTGTCGCCTGCTCCACGGCATTGGCTGCAGCTACCACTAGCGAGCTGCGCCACGAGGCAATCAATTCGTTTTGCAGCTCAACGGGCAGCTCCTTGAAGACCTGAGCATCCACACCGGCGGGACAGGCCAGATGCGCCAGGGAATCGCCCGTTGCCGCCTCCGTGGTTGCACTGCCCACACTGGGCGCTTGGGCCGCCTCCTGCAACGCTGGTGTCAGGGTGGGAGTGCTGGGCGCACTGACCGTATCATCCATGGGCGAGGGCAGCGGCGAGGATGCCGTCGAGCTGGCATTCGAACTAAGGCGGCTGGCCGTGCGTGCGGGTATGAAGCGGAGACTGCCATCGATTCGATTCACCAGCGTGTTGGGCGGCTGAATTGTGCGAAAGCGCGGCGCACTGGACGATCCCGATGTAGATGCCGCAATCGGGCTCATGGGAAAATCCTTTTCGCTGTCACGTGAGTTGAGTCGCAGATCGCAAACGCGCAGTTTGCTCGGCGAGGCCACATCGGCAGCCGTGTCCGCCACATCGCCGGCGAGGCGACTGCGCTTCGACACCAGCACGCGGCCAATGCGGCTCTTCTTGGGCGAGGGCTCCACCTCCGTTTCGGAGAAATCACTGAAATCCGAGTTGGTGGCTGCCGATTCCGAGCCATTGTCCAGGAGCATGGGCACGGGAGACGCTGTGGTGGCGCGTCTTCTATAGAACTGATCACTGGGCTTGAATGTGGTGGGGGAGGAACGAAAGGCGGCCTCGTCGCCGCTCATTGCTGACGGACTGCTCTCCGACGTAGGACTAGTGAGACTCGTATTTGTTAGAGAAGTGATTGACTGCACCTCCAGGTCGGCCTTTTTAATGAGAAAATTTGCTATCGACGAGGAGCCAACCTTGCGTTCCTGAAACTTGGAGAAGGCCAGGCCAATCAGTGTGATGTTGAAGGGTTTATTCAGATCCACAATGCGCTCAAAGAGACGCATTATGATCTTGAGCAGCTTGTCCAATGCTCCATCAGCCAGCTGCACTTTGCAGACGCCCGTCTCGCCGGCACAGACCGAGGCCTTGAAGAGCGAGGGCAGTATGTTCGCCTGCTTGGTCTCGCGATGGCTGCTCTTCTTCTGGGGATCAAATTTACGCAGCACCACCTTGATGGCAATGGGAATGCGACCGTCCTCGGCCACCTGTTGGAAGGGTTACGTATGGTTCAAAATGAGTGTCTGTTGAATTTCTATATTTATAGGTTGCTGCCCACCTGCTCCATCAGTCGCTTGAGCAACATGCGAAACTTGTCCGTGACATCCGTGTGCACCGATATGGTCTTGCAGGCATCCTCAACGCTGATAGTCTTGGGTTTGCCTGTCGGCCGCACGCAGCTGGCATCGCGGCCCAGTGCCAAGTCGCGCAGCTTTGTCGCCGTCTCGAAGCCGAACTTCTTGCGCATAAAGTCCATGTCGCAGTTCTGAAGTTGCTCCACGCTGGTAATGCCCGCCTCCTGCAGTAGCGTTTGCGTCTTCTGGCCAATGCCCGTGACGCTGTGCAAGTCGTTCAGCTCGCGCATGAACTGCTCCGCATACGTGGACACCAGCACCGTCTGCTGGTTGGGCTTGTGGCGGCTGCCCACGAGTTTGGCCAGCAGCTTGTTGTAGGCAATGCCCGCACAACAGGTGATGCCCAGCCGCAGGTGCAGTTCGTCGCGTATCTCCTGGGCTATTCGCGTGCCTATGGCCAGTCGTTGGGCGCAGCCGCAGCTGCAGGCAGTCAGCGGAGTGCCGTCCGCTGGGTAAATGTGTCCCACAGGTGGCTTGAACTGGGCATCGGCTGCGTGTGCCTGTCTCAGTTCCACCAACGATGTGACATCCATGTAGTTCTCATCGAAACCCAGCTTCTCGACGTCGGGCGTATAGTTGAGCAGCAGATCGAAGATCTTTTGGGACATTAGTCGATATGGGGCCAGATCCTCGCCATTGACCAGCACTAGGTCAGCGCAAAGACGTTTCGCCTCCACGACAAGCATCAGCTTGGCAACGCCTCTCGCTCGGGCCACATAGTTGCACGTGACCACAATGTTCTTCTGCTGCACGGCCAGGGGTTGGGTGCGCAGAGAGGGATTACGCAACTCCTCCACTTGGGCATAGAAATAGTCCATGTCCAGGTGTATGATGGTGCGCTGGTGTGGCTCGCTCTTATTAAGTACGCTGGCGAAATCCATCTTGGCGCCTGACGAAATGAAAACAAAACATTTATTGCTTGAAATAGCCTATTTATAGAGTTAAGAGCAGTATATTGTAGAAGTATGAGTATAATATGTATTTGTTTTAGAGCCAGGCTTCGACTAGATGTGAAATTACAGTTTGACACCCTTTGCTTCCATTTGGAGAGTCCATTTTAGAGTCAAACATACTACAACAGCAATAGCAAACAAGTGGCTCTAAAACTTTCTACCTGTTTGAAAACATGAAATGCAGTTTTAGAGATGGACTCAACAAATGACAAATTGAAATAAACGCTCTGTTAAAGTTACCGTTTCACATTCATAGAGAAACCTATGAAAAACAAATGCTTCTCAAACTGTAGAAAGTATTTTCCGGTCGAGTTTATCCGAACAGAAATGCTTATTTTTTCCTTCTGTTTTTCATTGTATCTTGAATTATCGTATTTTCGCGTTCTTTCCGCCGCTAAAACAAAACAAAGCGAACCAATAAAAATAAAAACAAGCGCCGTCCGCCTCCTGCGTCCGCCCGTGACCTTTGAAAAAGAGCTACGCGTGCCGACGCGTCGTCGTCGGCTCTGTCGACATTATTTCGTCACTGAGCGCGGAACAGCCGTCAGGCAGACAGATAGAGTGTGAGAGAGAGAGACCAAGTCTAGGCCAGCGGGTGTTGGGTGATGCGAGAGCGCCGACGATTATATTATGATTTTTTTCTTTCAGCTTTTTTCGCGCGATGTTCGCCTTGACGTACGTTGAGAAATTTTGTAGCTGCTGTTGCTTGCTCTTCGCCGTTCCGAACGGTACCCACACACCCACAATATCGGCAGCCGACTTTCTAATCAAACAAACGAATGCGAAACAACATGTACAGTGCACCGGTAGATTGTTTAGTTCGTCAACAATATTGCACATATATTTATAATCAAACAACAGCGAACAGACAATGATGACGCACAAATTATACAGTAAACCGAGATGGACAAGAGAAAATTATCTCTCAATGCTAAACTCTGATCACACGAATACAGCCATTCGGCTTGCACAACAATCACAGTTTGTTTATTATTTACTTAACAGCGTTGGCATTTACATGAGTACACACAGAATGAGTATTTATTTACCTGTTAATAAACAATAAACTAAACACTGCGCAACGCATCGACAACACTTTCGACAACGTTTGCGAATATTTTTGTAACGATAAGTGTCAATCGTACTCCACCACCACACAAATGTATCGAGTTGTAACTGTGCGATAGTTAAGAGTGTGACCGCTCAGCTTGTATATGCTACACGATGTATTTCTACCGATGTGGCAGCGCTATGCGTGTTGCCAGCTGGTTAAAAATAAATAGAATACATGAAGCGCGGGAAAATATTTAAAAATGTTATTAAACTTAATATGAAGAGAATCTTATCATGCATGAAAACATTTTCATTGTTATTACAACAATTTAATGGCTGCTCATGGCTTCTTTCTTTTCTACTTGCTAATGATATTCATGAGTTTTTTTTTTATATTAAATGTGTCGGTCAGCAGCGAAGAAGAATGCCATAAAGCAATGTTGCGATAAGTGGGTGGGCACCAACACCAGCGCCTGGGGCAGCTGTGGTCACGCGCGATGCCGATGCCGATGTCGATGCCGTTGTAGTTGTTGCAACAATATGGAACAGTTTTATGGCACGTTGTTCTCTTTTCTTATTTTGTTGCCCTCTCTCTCTCTCTCTCTCACACACTCACTCACTCTTGCCTGTGGTGCTTTATGAAATGCGCTTGGAATTTGAGCCAACAACAACAGCAACAACTTTTGCTATATGCAGGCCTTTTCTTAGTCCTACTCGGGCTCCTGCTCGTCCTGCGCCTGCGATAATCGGCCGTTTTTTGCTGCTTTGACAGGCAAACAATGCTGTGAATTTTTGATTAAAATCTGGCTGCGTGTGCGTCGCAGTTGTTGTTCTTGTTGTTTAGCTTTTGGCTTTGCTACATTTGCTTGATTTTTCAGATTTTTCAGATTTTCTTATTGAAATCTTGTTTGTGGCCCAGCCAGCCGCAGGCGCTGCTGCTGCACTAATTGTGAAACGCCATAAAAGGCAAAAAGAGCTCGAATATGGCCAAGTTCTTGTCGGACAGCCAGCCAGCGATGCAGCCAGCTTCTTGGCAAATTTTCAGTGTGCTCAAAAAGAAGAGCGAAAAAAACTAATTAGTTGCTCGCCTGCTCTTCAGCCAAAATTGTAAAAAAAATGTGCACAGGATCAGCCACACGGCGAAGCGAAACGGATGTTCTGGCGCATCCTTTCATTTTTTATACCCTGCATATAAAGTGAGGCAAGATATGCCACAATTTTAGAGCCATTTGGACAGTCACTGCTTTAATATCAACTAATTTCAAAGTTATCATTTACTTATTTATATTAATATACTCCCATCGGACTGTTATATTTCAGCAGTTACATATACATATATATGTTGTACATAGGTACAACGTATGCATACCTTAGCAAACATTTTTAAAGTAACTGCCACCATACACAGTTTAAAAGTCACTGTGCACTTAATGACAGTCTGGCAGCCCTAAGTTACAGTTATGGAGTTACTGAGTTACTTCATCAAAGCCATTTCGAATTGAAATAGTATTAATATACCAAAGCATACAGCTTCAGTCACATTCAATCAGCTGCAGTTTTAGAGCAACTGAAGTCAAATATATTCCAGCATTTTATTTTTTTATCTCATTTCCGCACTTAGTACTCAAATATTTCTATTGGGCATAGCATACAGTTTCACAGCTACTGTCGCACAGTTGTACAGCCACTAGCCCTACAAGTGCTTCTAAAACTCAGCTTAGCTCTTAAAATACAGAGTATGTGCTCAGTGGGCCTTATGCAATTGCAATCTTTTGCCTTGTGATTCTTTTTTTTTTCGTGTCGGAGTGTGTGAAAATCGCAAAAAGGACTGCGTGTGTATGTATGTGTGTGTGTGTGTGTGTGCGGCTAGTGCGGGGCAGCAAAATGTTAATAAATCTTATTTTTATCATTTGGCTATAAATACTGAATTTTTAGCTCCGGCCATGCTCAATTTATGACCATTATTTATGTCGGAAAAGCGAAAACCTCAAACATGTTGCTACAGTTTTTTCCTTTTTCCTCTCTTTTCTCATTTTTGCGCCGTGTTGCCGTGTTGGCAGCCCCTCCTCCCCGGCAGCTTGAGCGGCCTGCATAGTGCATCCATTTTGGCTTGGCTAAAAGGAAAAGATATACAAACATATTATTGCAATTTTCCAGTTGCTCCGCCCACGCCAGCTGCTCGCCCCCTCAGCGAGCGAATAAAAGGAAATATGAAAAATTGCATTACACCTTAATAAACACCTCACCTGGCAGCGATGGCAGCGTCGTCGAGGGCGGGTGCGGGTGAAGGTAGCCACCACAGCGTCTGCATCAGCATCTTGTGGTATATCGGCAAATCGGAACTGCTGCAGCTGTGTGCCCTCCAGTGTCCATAATGAAGATTGTCTGCGGTTTAAGTGGACGCACGTTTCTCTCAGAGCCCAACTACAGCTCCAGCTTCAGCTTCAGCTCCAGCTCTGGCCTCAGCCTGGCTGCGATGGATGGGGCTGGCTGGATGGCTGGCAGGTAACTGATCGCGATCATTTAGGCGCTCATCTGGCATAAAATTGTTAGAAACGCCCCGTGTGTATCCACAGTTGCCTGAAGGTAGCAAAGCCCCAATCCCCCTAACCGACGTCTCTGCCGCTGCCGCTGCCTCTGCCTCTGCCTCGGTCTCTTCTCCTACTCCTTTCACTTGTTCTCAAGCGTCTCATAACGTTTTTACCATTAAATTAATAAATTAATGCGATCGTGCACGGCCCCAAACTGCAATACACATGACCAAAGCGAGGACCAAAAAAAAAAAAAAATAATAATAATATGAGAAAAAAGAAATAAAACTT